AATCCCTTTCCCATTCCGGAAAGCGGTCCTGTGTTCAAAACCTCCAGCAACGCAGATCCCAGTGGGTGCCAGAGTGGTTTATTGGGTCCTTGGGTGGGGGGTGAAGGTGGGATAGAAATAATTTTAAATAAATCAAATGAATAAATGATTGAACCCCGGTGGCACGGCTGTGAACGAGGTTTCTCCTAAATTTTAAAGATTTTGGCCTTATTATGGGATGTCGGATGGTGGGGCAATGCTAAAGGTAGCTGTGTTTGTTTTGGGGAGTGTACAGCACATTGTGTGTCACATTTCTCAAGCCCAGCTGTTGACTCCGGGGGTTCATGGGAGCAATGAACTCGCTCTGGGTTTTTGCCTGAACTTTACAAGAGCTTGCCAGGCTGCTGAACCCTCTCCCCTAAATTGGTTCTGTGTTATTACCTGGATGAGTTAACCCCTGCCTCTAAAAGATATTACTGTACCATGTCAACCTGATTGCACATATTCTTGCTTGTAGATTTTACAAGGAAGTTACGATCATTGCTAACTCACCCTATTAATCGCGCAAATGAATTTAGCAGCAGGTTGGAAAAGGGAGGCTTTTTAATTGGATTTTAATCAGCGCTTTCCCCTAAGAAAACATGTTTGCAGAAAAAGACAACTGTAATAGATAATTTACATAATTCCCTTGATTGGGTAATGCATTATAAGAAAAGATTTTCTTTTTGGCCTGAAAATAGTGAATCATTCATTTATTGTTATTTCCTTAAGACTTATGGCAGTGGAGGGCGGGGTGGTATTCGTTTTGACTTAGGGCTTACAAGATTCGCCTTCCGAGGCTGATATCTTAAACCAGAACTGGGCCAATCAGCTAACTCCCCTTGAGTAATGATGCTCAGGTAACCAACTGAGTTACTTGTGACTTTGTGGGAGTAATTTTACCGTTTGCGGAGCTAATTAGTTGTCATGCATGTCATTAACGGGGCTCCATTGTGTTATCAGAGGAAAAACAGGGAAGTCTTCTCTGTTTCCCCCTAGTGGTCAGTTTTGATATTGCAATCTAAGGTTGCTACCTATTCAGCACAGAAAGAAGTGGAAATTTAGAAAACCATCAAAGAGAGGGGGATATTAACAGGCAGACCCTGGGGGTAGATTGTTGGATTCAGACTCCAGGGTCCTGGGTTCAAATCCCTTACGAGATGCGACTGAATGAGAAACAGAAAACCCCTTCGTGCTTTCTTCCTGTTGGTCTTTGGAGGTCCCATCTCATGAAATCCCCATCTCTCGATGGAGTTCCCCAGCCTGCGTACTGATGGACAAGATCCGAGATGCAGAGGTGCTGGCCTCTCCTGTCAACAGTGATCAGCAATGCCTGCTGGACTTTTTCTTTGGGGGGGTGTATTCTAGTTTTGGAGCATGTCTCATTTGGAGTGGCTGTTTTTTAAAAATTTACCATTGATCTGAATTATGGACGCCACCTGGTTTCTCATTAATGATGCAGCTTTCAGCTCGCAGCCCGGCTCCTCGTCTCCGTGTGCTCCCGGCAGGTTTGGCTCTGACACCACTGGAGGCGAAAGCTGAACATCTGTGGTTCTCCTTGGCACGCTATCCCTCGAAAGCAAAGCCAGCGGCTGCTTTGGCTCCAAGACAGAGTGGAGGAAACCCAAGAAAGGTGGGCTGCTGCCTGGATCTCTCCGAAGGCTCTGCTTGTTTTTCAAGACCCACCCGGAGTCTTTTCCATCTTTCCTTCAAAACTGTTTCTTAGGATTCTTAGAAAACGCCTGGGAAGTGTGGACTTAAATTCGGAGCGGATGCACCGCTCTGCTCCCAAATTCGGTGACATCATCGACAACAAAGGAGACAGGGAAGTGAGAGGATGGAGAGCAGTCTTTCCCTACCTTAGGTCCCCAGGTGGTCTTGGACTACAACTCCCAGAAGCCTTCAGCGCTAGAACACCGGAGGAGCCGAGGCTGGGAATCACTGAGGAATGTTCAGGGTGAAGAATGTAACTGAGAAGCAACTAGCTAGATCTCAGGTTTTATGGGTCAGAAATGAGAACTTTGGATGCTCATTTTGAGATGGATCTTACGAATCCGTAATTATTCTTGGCTTCCGATTTTCATCCGAATTATTCTTTGCATCCAATTTTTATCTGAATTATCCAAATTATTCTTTGCTTCCGATTTTCATCCAAATTCCTCTTTGCTTCCGATTTTCATCCGAATTATTCTTTGATTCCGATTTTCATCCAAATTCCTCTTTGCTTCCGATTTTCATCCGAATTAGTCTTTGCTTCCAATTTTTATCCATGTTATCCGAATTATTCTTTGCTTCCGGTGTTCATTGGAACCAAAGGAGAATTCGGTTCTTTCTCACCACGATCTGACATCCTTGCTTTCTCGCCTATGGCGCCTTCCGGACACCCAAGAGCAGCTTCTAAATCAAATCAGGGAACCCCATGCACACCCCCTTGTGAAAAAGCAAACTCTTGACAGCCTGTCTAAAACAGCACGCCCCAGTGTGGTCCTGGTGTCTTTGACTCTGATTCCCACCAGCCACACCCCAGAACAGGTTAGGGACAATAAGGGTTGTGGTCCAGGACCCTCCGAAGGGTGCCTCCTGTTTGAGGCAGTCCTCTGACCTCGTGAGGAGCAGGCAGCCATGAACGAGAGAAACAGACACTGATAACCAAAACAAACCTTTAATGATCACATTATGGAAGCAGAGAGGGTGGTGAAGTCCAGAAGAGACAAAAAGAGAGGGAAGCTATTTTATTTTATAGGGCAAAGCAGAACTTCAGGTTGCTCGTGGTTTAGAGTCTCACCTTCCTTGGGTCATCTAGTCTGACCCCATTCATTCATTCATTCATTCATTCATTCATTCATTCATTCATTTCATTTTCATTGTAATTTTTTGTTATAGTTACATATCGATATATCTGTTGTTCTGTGACCGTTCATTCATTCATTCATTCATTCATTCATTCATTGATAGCTAGATTCTGGAAAGATAAAAATGATACTAAATTAAACTATTGGCATAATGAAGTACGGGACACTGCATTACATGATAAATTGACTACTGAACGTAAGATGAAAAGAGGGGAAATAAGTTCAAATATCCTTTATGCTATTTGGGGTAGATTGGTTGAATTTGTGTTAGTGAAAGGATAGGGGAAAGCCTCTAAACTATCATCAATACAGTTTTGGAAAGGAGGTTCATATTAAAAGTATTGTTCCAAAGGGTCCTGTGGGTATGGGGGAGCACTGTGGTTTAGATTGTATTAGTCAGCATTTTGTTTTTGTTTTTGTTTTCAGAAATTAAAAAAAAATAAAATTCATTCATTCATTCATTCGTTCATTCGTTCGTTCGTTTGTTCCTAAGGTGTTACTGTAGTTACTAAGGTAAATGTGTTCCTATCTATTACAGGACTGTTAGACTGTAATGCCACCACACCTGCATTCCATGTAACTAAATTCCATGTAACTAAATTCCATGGAATGGAACTGCATTCCTTCCAAACTCAAACCCTAACCCTCATGCTTTTGTCCACTCCAGGAGTTCTCTACTCTGATTCCCTCCCTACAAGTTTTTTCCTAAAACCACCCACCCACCCCGGCTGCTTCTTCACCCCGTTTTCTCTCCAGGTTGTAAGCCGTTGGTGCCGGACACGCCGAGAAGGAAACCCGAGCGCCCGCGGCTCCAGTAGGATCGCTTACCTGACACGCCGTGGCTCATGAGGCAGAAGAAAAGGCAAAGCCAAATCAGTTACGGATGAGTTATTCCCCAGCTGGAACACAGTGTGTGTTGATGCTTCGAGACCTCTCAAGGTACACGCACTGAAAACAACCTCTAACTATAATAATCCTAAAATAATCATCTTAGAACTGCATCATCATCATCATCATCACCATCATTTTAGAATTGTAGAACAGGAAGGCACCCTCTGGATATCAGAGTCCAGCACCTCTCAAGGACGCCCCTGGGGGGATTCGAACTCTCGCCCTCCAGCTCTACAGCCAGAGATCGTAAACCCCGAGCGAACCCCTGAGATATTCTTTCTTTCTTTTCTTTCTTTCTTTTCTTTCTTTCTTTTCTTTTCTTTCTTTTCTTTCTTTCTTTTCTTTTCTTTCTTTTCTTTCTTTCTTTTCTTTCTTTCTTTCTTTCTTTCTTTCTTTCTTTCTTTCTTTCTTTTTGTATTACAAATCTATTTTAAGCCACGAAGTATTTTGCACAACATGGAACCGTTTTGCTCAAAACCTCCTTCATTAAATCTGCTGGAAATGGGCGAAATGGCTCATAAACTCTGCCATTCTCAGATGATGATGATGATGAAGAACAATCTGACCCTCTTCCATTTGGTTTCTAGGGGAATGGGCGAAATGGCTCATAAACTCTGCCGTTCTCAGATGATGATGATGATTATGATGATGATGATGATGAAGAATCTGACCCTCTTCCATTTGGTTTCTAGGAGGAACTGAAAGGCTGATGATGTTTTTTTAAATTATTTTTAGCGGTTCTTATAAAGGTTTTCTCTGTCCTTTGTTGGCGAGGTTGTGTGAGAATCCCCAATCATCTTTCCCTCATATTTCGCATGAGGTATCTTTTTGTATTTCTAGGGATCAGCCTTGAGTCGCCAACAGTTGAGAGAAAGATATTAAGCATGGAGCTTTTCGGTATCAAGAATAATGGAAACTAAATTGGACACATTTTGCTATACCCATTTTTCTCCCTGTTCTGTAGGACCCAAAGCTGGCCAAGTTATTTGGAAACATGAGACAACAAACAATCAAAAGGAAAAATGCAATTCATCCATTTATTCTGCCTTTATACTGTATCTGAAATTTGCTTTCCTCCCCCTTTAATGATGTGCTTCTATCGCCACCTAGTGGCAAAAAGGGGTGGAACGCTTTGAGATTTTTATTCTCTCTCTCTCTTTTTTTTCCTGGCAACTGAGCAGCAGAAACCCAACTTTCAGGAAGGGAGAGAGCCTCTCAAAGTCCCACCCACTGCAGGAAACAGGAAGCATGTGTGACAAAGGGAGGTTTCCTCCTGCTCGCTCTCTAGTCTTGCTGGCTTGCTTTTTTCTTCTTCCCTAACTCAGATGGTAGAGAAGGTGGCAACACAGCTCGAGAACTATCTGTGGTAGGAAATACAGAATTCACCAACTGTGCAGTTTGGGCAGCTGGTGTTAGCATGGCTGGAGCGTCCTTAATTTGTCCTGGGACAGTGAGCCGGTCAGTATCTATCTATCTATCTATCTATCTATCTATCTATCTATCTATCTATCTATCTATCTATCTATCTATCTATCTATCTATCTATCTATCTATCTATCTATCTATCTATCTATCTATCTA